AGGTGCCTATTGAGTCTCAGGCAAAACTTCTGAGCCAGATTTCCTCGCCTTAGGCAGTTAAGAGAACCAGAGCCAGCCTTAGTTTGGCCCCTTTGATGCCCTACCTGAGAAAAGTTGTTGTAATTGGGAAATAATTAGCAACTGCTATGTTGTAGACAGGCTGCCCACACGTGCCTCTGCACCTCTTTCATCCTGGACATTTGGGAGTTGGGGTGCTGGCCCTGGGGGACTGCTCATCCAGAGATTTCTTGGCCCTAAAGGATTCTGGGGACTCCTGGTGTGGCATTGTAGGATCAGCACTGGACTGTGAATAACAAGGTCACACTTCAAACCCACCGGTTGCTCCTCAGAAACCCTATACAGGATCGCTTCTTGGAAACCTTATATAGGGTCACAATGAGTCAGAACCGACTAGATGGCACTTAACAACAACAAATGATTCTGGTATTCTAAATCCCTTTTCTCCTTTCCCCAGCTGATCTACATGCCATCATGCCAGCAGGATGTGAGAAGGGACACTTATCATGGGAGGGGGTAGGCTGCTTCTCTTCATGCCTGGGAGGGGAGTGTTCTGGTCCTAGGAGGTGGCCAAGGCAAGTGTGGGATCAGGAATGCAACTTGGGGAACTTGAGAGGGAGGAGTAGATGGTGACAAAGTCTTCCTGTCACACACCGGGTTCATTGTGCACCTGCTCTTCCTGCCTGTTCCCTCCCCACCTTCTGGCTCCTCCTTCAGAGCCTTGGCTTTGGCAGCTAGCTGGATGTGCCCATGCCCACAGGCTTGCTCCTCTACCTCCTCTGTGGTGTGGAATTTCTCTGGTCTGTTTTACAAGCTGCCAGTGTTGTCTCCCTGGCCCTCCCTTTCCCTGGTTGCCTCTCAAACCAGTCCAGCCAGTTTGCAGGGGCCCAGTTCCTCATTGTTTTTCCTCACTGGCCAAGCCACTCCAGCCTGGCTCTCAAGTTTCGATTTTTTTCAGTGGACAGAGCCAGGAGTTCACTTGGGTTTTTTTTTTTTGATCCATGGAGAATCCTCTTATTGTTGCAACTCTATGTGAGAAAGTGGAAGTCAAATGACCAAGGTCACTGAGCTGTCCTCTATTCTGACCATTTGTTTCTCTTGTTACCTCAGACAGGTAGTCTAATGTCTAGTCTAATCTCTAGTTTTCCTATTTTCTAAACCTGCCAATATGTGGCACCCACCTTGGTATTGCGCTATAGGATAAGCACTCAGCTGCAAGGCTGGTTTGAATCACAGGGTCGGCAGTTCAAACTCACCAGCCGCTCCTCGGAAACCCCATACAAAGTCACTATGAGTTGGAACTGACTCGAAGGCACTTAACAACAGCGATAGCATACTGCTTGGCCCTGGACGTATCAGCCCTTCCTCCACACACCCAAAGCCTCCCCATAGCCACTTCCTGCTAGGAGTCCAGGGGACCCTGTCACTTCTAGTTGGATACCAGATGCTTTACTACTGGGCCAGAGGTGATGGAATTGGGGCAGGGCAAGCTAATGAGTAACTCAAGTGGCTCTGGAACTGGTGAAGGGTTTCCTTTCCTTCCTTGCCAGCAGGAATGGCAGAGGCAGACAGATGAGAACAGAGTTAACTGTGGCTTGGCCTCTTCCCGGAGTACAGTTGGCGAGGAGAAAGCCTGGGGTATATGCCAGAGGAGGGAGAAACAAGGGCAGACATCTGCTGAGAGCATAGGCTCAGGATTCCATGTTGCCTGGGTACTCGATCACTGTTTACCTGCCTCTGGGGCTTACGCAAGGCCCCTAGCTGCCCTGCTCCTTTGGGCCCTCCCCACTGTCCTCTGTAACTGAAGGCGAGTAGGTTTCGGGTTTTCCATGTTGAATCATTTAGAACCCTGCTTTTTGATCCCTCCAGTCCTCCCCAAGGATCCCTCCAATCCACCTGCCCCTGACCCACATGTCCCAAGACTGAGGATTGTTGAGTTAAGGAGTCACTGGGTCCTGGGAGAGCACTTTATCCTGCCTCTTAACAACCTGATATACTCAGGCAAATAGGATGTGTACTCTGGCCAGCCTCAGCCAGGAGCTCCTTGACCTGGATCTGGAAGCTCAGTAGATGTGCTGACTGGCTAGAGCTGTGTCGTGAATAAATCATATGGCATTCTCAATCTGAGAGCTGGCGGTCTGGGCACATCTGGTTCTAAATCGGCAATGAGTAAGGCAGAAGAGTCCAGGCCAGGAAACGGATTTTGTTACCAGGGAAAATGAGAGAAATGACCTGGGGGTGGGGGGGTCCCCTGGGCAAATCTTCTGTTATGTAAGTCTGCCTTGGTTCAGGATACCACTTTTCATAAATATTTATCAAGATCTGTCCTGTGCTCTCTGATGGCACAGTGGTGAAAACTCAGCTGCTAACTGAAAAGTTGGCAATTTGAACCCACCAGTGACTCTGGCAGTTGCTCCCAAAAGGATTTATAGTCTTGGAAACCTTATAGAACAGGAAGTTCTACTCTGTTTTGAGAGGGTCACTATGAGTTGGAGTCAACTCAACAGCAGTGGGTTTTGATTTGGGGCCATATGCCAGGCATTAAGAACACACTAGTGCCAAGCATTGGGGATATGGCTGATAGCCATGGTTTTTGCCCTCTAGAAGTCTTACTCTTGTGGAAGAGACAGACAGAAAACAGATAATCACTTCAATAAATACATAAAAATACACAGGTGCACTCACTGAAGGACAACTGCAGAGGATGTAATGTGGGCTTGGCCAGGTTTGGGGAAAGTGGTAGTTGAGATGTCTTCTTGGAAGAAGTGACTTCCTTCTAAGGAACCCAATGAATCCAGAAAGTTGGTAGGAACAGTATGTGGGAAGGTAAAATTTTTGTCATCTTTGTGATTGCTTTTGTTTTCTAGGTACATATTTAATATCTTGCCATTCCCTCCTACCCACCTTTATTTTGAAGTATTACTTTGGTTTAATAAAGAACAAAATCTTGTAAGTGTGAAACTTGATAAATGTTGACAGTTGTATGTGTCATTGTAATTTGTTATTTGTCCCACTTAATTCTTATAGGCAATTAATTACATTGTAAGATATTATAATTACATTAACTTTGCAGAGGAGGAAACTGAAACTCAGGAAAGTTGTGATTTTCTCAAGGTTATACATAGATATTAAGGAGCTCTGGTAGCATAGTGGTTACAAATCGGGCTGTGAACCGCAAGGTCAGCAGTTCGAAACTACCAGCTGTTCCATGGGAGAAAGATGAGGCTTTTCTGCTCCCGTAAAGATTTACAGCCTCGGAAACCCTGTACAGGGTTGCTGTGAGTCTGAACCGACCCGACGGCACATAACCACCCCCAGACATATATATTAAAAATATGTACTATATATTTTAACATATGTATTTAATATTACATGATTTTACTTGTCCTGTGCTGTTCCCTCTCAACTAAATATCTGGGCGTTTGAGGGTATCATGAGTGAAGGGTTGATATGGCTCTTCCCAGTGCCTGAAGAGTTTAAGAAAGTGTCCATGAACCTCTTAAAATTCTGTGGTAAAAGTTTGTGTGATTTGTCTCTTCGAGGAGGTTGCATTGCTTTCATCATTTTCTCAAATGGAGACCCAGTGCCAAAAAGACAAAGAACCACTGCCAATACCGGGCTCCTCCCTCCCTGTTCTTTCTCTAGAGGGACAGGGCTGGGAATGCTGGGAGGTGGTTTCTCCCCACCAAGCCCTTCCTAGCCTGGAGCTCTGCCCCTCTCATCCCTCTCCCTCCCTTCTTCCTATCTCTTCCAGGTTTCCTGGGCCTGGCCAAACTTTCTTGGCCCTCAGCTCTCTGGGGAGGTTGAGTTGCATATGTTAGTGTTGCTGTCTGGCAGTCTACAGGCTCCTCCTCCAATTTGGTGCTAGGTTCTGGTGGAGACGAGCAGAAGAGATGGGGAAGTTGTGTTTTTATTTTGCTTGGAATTTCCTGGAACAGAGCATACCTGGACTACATTCCATTTGCTGAGTCTGAGCTTGGCAATGTAGATCTGGGAAGCAGGCCTGGAGATAGATGGTCTTAGTTGTGTCCCTCAAGTGGAATAAATCTACCTGTCTGGGGCTCCCGTGGACTGGCACACTTAAACCATTATTTAAATTTTTTCTTGTATAGTTTCAATATGGTTCCAAAATTTTTTTAAAAGATACAAAATAGCAAGTTAGTTACTCTCCCATTCTTGTTGCTGACCCTCAGGTCTCCCACCTCAGAAGCATCAGTTTCTTTGAATAACCTCCCAGAAATGGGTTGGCACCCATTGAGGTCTGCTTTATTTTCAGTAAGTTGAGAATGGGATTGGATTCTACCTTCTGTAGGGGGACAGAGAGAAGGGACATGGTGGTATATGTGTGGATAGCAAGCAAAAATCTTAAACTCTTAACAAAATCAAGTTGCCTTGAACTATATATATAAGAAGAAATTAATTTTTCTAGGTAGGTGGATCTCAGAAGTGTGGTACCTGGACCAGTTTAGTCTATCAGCATCATCTGGGAGTTTATTAGAAATGCAAATTCTCAGGCCCCACCCCAGACCTACTGAATCTGGAACTCTGGGTGGGGGGTGGGAAGAGGCAGGTGAAACACAGCTACTTGAGCTACTTGTGGGTTGTTTTTTGTTTTTTTTTTTTGGTATGTGTATTTTTAAATAAGCCCTCCTAATGATTCCATGGAGTCCTGGTGTGGTGCTGTGGGTTAATGCGTCAGACTGCAAAGCCGTTTGAACTGCAAGGTCGGCTGTTCAAGCTCACCAAGCTGCTCCTTGGAAACCTATATAAGGTCGCTATGGGTTGGAACTCACCCGACGGCACTTAACAACAACAACAGTGATTCTATTTGGCAGTTAAAATAAGAGAACCACTGTTCTACATAGAAGAAACCGCCAAGGCAATCAGGCCTACTAAAGCTGAGCAGGTGGAGGTTTCTGGATTTCCACTTCCAGTGTCTGGGTTTAAAATGTTTAAACTCCCTTCTCCCTCTTCTAGGACCCCTCCTACCCATGGAGCAGGCAGCCACCATGACTGAGTCCCGGGGTCCCCTAGACCATGGAGTCCAGATTCGCTTCATCACAGAGTCAGTGGGTAATGCCGAGACCGGTACTCTACGCCGAGGTGGGCGACGGCCAGCCAAGGATGCAAGAGCCAGCTCCTATGGGGTTGCTGTGCGAGTGCAGGGCATTGCTGGACAGCCCTTTGTGGTGCTCAACAGTGGGGAGAAGGGTGGTGACTCCTTTGGGGTCCAAATCAAGGGGTCCAACAACCGAGGAGCTCCCGGAGCCCTGAACTCTGACTCAGAATTTCCTGAGAACCCTTACTCTCAGGCCAGGGGGTTTCTTGCCCCCTCGCAGGGCAGCACATCTGATGAGGAGCCTGGGGCCTGCTGGAATGGAAGGCTACTCCGCTCCCAGTCTCAGGCCTCCCTGGTAGACCCTGCCCCTATAGCTCCAAGCAATAGGAGCACTAGCCTGCTGGAATTAGCCCCCCAGGGGGCACCCCCAGGAAGCACCATTGACACTGCACCTCTGTCTTCAGTGGATTCACTCATCAACAAGTTTGACAGTCACCTTGGGGGCCAGGCCAGGGGCCGGACTGGCCGCCGTACACGGACGCTGCCCCGGGAACAGCGCAAGAGAAGTCAGAGCCTGGACAGCCGGCTCCCACGGGACATCCATGAAGAGCGGGAGCACCGCCAGTCCCCCAATCACCTGTCCCCAAGCAGAAACTATGACAACCATGTGGGCAGCTCAAAACAGCAGGCCCAGAGCCAGAGCCCTCTCAGTAGCTTTAGCCGTTCCCGACAGACCCAGGATTGGGTCCTTCAGAGCTTTGAGGAGTCACGTGGGAAAGCACAGGAGCCTGCCATACTGCAGGTCAGAACTCACACTCTCCTCAGCTTCCAACCCCAACCCCTTCTCATTAGCCCTGACCTCAGGACGCTTGGGACTCCATGCTAATTAAAATAACCTAGAGCAGCAAGTCTACCTTCTTTCCTTCACTTCATCCATCTACTCAATGGATGATATTCACAAATGTAAGATTACTTCCATAGGTAAAAGTCTAAAGAAAACGGAACTGGTTATGACATCATCATTCTCAAGTATGGAGAGTAATTTGTTATTGCTCCAGCTTCTTTTTTTTTTTTTTAATGTTTTATTGTGAATTATGTGATAATTTACATGGGAGAACATTACTTTACATCCATCCTATCATATATTGTTTCATTGCCATGGTTGCAATCCCCTCCATGCATCATCAGCCAACCAAAGGGTATGGCCTGCAAGCCTGCCCCCCAACCCCGGCCGTCAGCACACAACCCCTCTCCCTCTCTGGGTCTGAAGTCCCCAGCCACTACATCTCTCCACATCATAATCTCTGTCTCCATCTCTGGCGTCACTGCTTCTCTGGGTAGGGTCCCGTTCTCCGCTTTTCTCCTTTGATGGTCCCAGGGACCTCTGCTCCTAGGCTGCAAAGTCAATCACTCGCCTCCTTTTGCTACAAAACGTCTACCTTTACATTTCTAACCCTCACAATCAGTCCTGATAACAATTGTTCACTACTGTATCACAAGAGACCTATCCCCATCTCCTTTCATTAGCCCCACCCAGATAGATTGGATACTACTCAGTGGAGATTCTATCTTCCTTCATGCCCTCTGGATCTAGGCTCCCTCTTGAAAGCTTGTAAGCCAGTCACTTCTTGC